ACTTTGGATGCCTTCACATGTTGGATTCTTGCTGCCCATGATGGAATTGTCAGATGAAGGGCAGGAGACCATTAGGTATCCCTCAAGCATGTCTGGACCCATTTCCAGCTGTGAGACACCTCCCTCCAACCTCTGTCATACAGAGTCTCCAAAAGAAAGGCAAGAGGCAGCTGTGACCCCTCCACCATTCTTGTGTCTAGCTGAGTGGAAAACCCCCTCCCCAGGAAATACTTTATGTCCGATTTTTGTGTGGGACCTTTATTCCTTTTAGCTGCTTCGTAAGCCTGTTTTTTTGCTGAAAGGAGGGATTAAAAACATATGAGAGCCAGTTTGGTGTAGTGGTTAAGTGTGCGGACTCTAATCTGGGAGAACCGGGTTTGATTCCCCACTCCTCCACTTGCACCTGCTGATGTGACCTTGGGTCAGTCACAAGCTCTGGCACAGCTGTTCCTGAAAGAGCAGTTTGTGTCAGAGTTCTCTCAGCCCCACTCACCTCACAGGGTGTCTGTCGTGGGGAGGAGAAGGGAAAGGAGTTTGTAAGCCACTCTGAGACTCCAAGTGAAGGGCGGGGTATAAATCCAATCTCCTCCTCCTCCTCCTCTTCTTATTGAAAAAGAGCAGTTTGTGGCAGAGTTCTCTCAGCCCCACCCACCTCACAGGGTGTCTGTTGTGGGGAGGGGAAGGGAAAGGACTTTGTAAGCCACTTTGAGACTCCAAGTGAAGGGCGGGGGTATAAATCCAATCTCCTCTTCTTCATATGTAGAGAGGCTGTAGCACACTGTTGCTTTAAATCTTTAGATCACAAAAAAAGATACTTCACGGGACAGTAATGGTTGAAGTTTGATCTTGGTTTAAGCGCTTTCATGTAAACTGAAAGCAGATTTACCACAAGTGAGGCTGTGGGATCCCTTGGGGAAACTGATCTGGACCATTCTGTACAGATCAGAGTGCCGGCATCAGTTTCTCATTGTGAGTGGGCAATGGGGCTACTAAGAGGAGGATTGGGATACACAATTCTGGGGGCCCAGGAAGGTATTCAGAGTGCCAGAGGAAAGTAGCAACATAGTTGTCCTCTTCAAACATCTTCTGTATGTTGGGGGGAGGCCCTGTGAAGGGTGTCTTTGTTCAGAGGCCTGTCTGGCTCTCGGCAGGCCTCCTGGGCAGTCTCTGGCTGTGGTCACACACACACACTAAATAATCCACTTTCACTGCACTTTCCAACTGGATTTTACTGTGTGAACTGGCAAAATCCAGTTGGAAAGTGGATTGAAAGTGGATTATTTAATGTGTGTGTGACCGCAGCCTCTCTGTTGTGTCCAAAAAGAATGTCACAGTCCCCATTTCCAGGTGACCCCAGGGTCCTGCTTATGTGCTGCTTAGAGCTGTTACCTCAAGCTAGAATAGTTAGAACTTCTTAGTGTTGGGCTGTATTTCACGATAAAGATTTATAAAGCAAGTCTCTCTAAATGAAAGCCAGTCTTCTTCACAGATAACATAACCAGAGATCACAAATCCAGGCTGAGCTCTTTCTCCTTTATACATGAGCTGTTCTTTTCCAAAGTGGGGTTAGGCAGGCAGATGTCCTGTAGCTATGAAATACCAAAAGGCTGCTCACTTGGTGGTGTGCAAGCTGAGGGGAATGTGTTTGGGTGGATGCACGGTTGGGTTGTATATACGTATATTTGTGTTTGTGAGATTCCCTTGAAACCCGTGCTTCAGTAATTAGCTTTTATGGCTTTGAATGTTAGAGTGTCAAGAGCCAGGATCGTAAATCGGAAAGCAGGGAAAAGAGCAAAGAGAGGCAAGGGACCGCGCCCTCTGACAAAAACAAGGAGCAGAAACGGCCGAGAGATGTAGAACACCGGTAAGCTCGTAACACCGATATAATCTGTGGTCCTTTTCAGCAAAAATGTCTAGCCACTTGCCATGCCCTAGTCCTGCTTTGTTCTTTCCGTGTTGCCCATGCTGCTTTCCTAAAGGTTTTGCCTGCTCAGTGTCTTCCCTGTTGCTTCCCTGACTCGGTCATCCTCATGGGCTGCTTGGAGAGGGAAGGAGCTGGGCCAGCCACTTCCCTGTTATCATCTGTCTCAGTTTCTCATACGGGAGGAAATCCCTGGGTTTTTGTTTTTGTCTGTGTGTCTATACATAGAAGGTATGCATATTATCGTGAGAGAAGGCACGCACAAGTGAGGGTTGGGGGATATCTATGTGGAGATCCGTGTTTTTGTTGTTTTCCAATAGCTACGGATGGCTCTTAATTGGTGAGAAGCCCAGTTCGCGGAGTCTGGATCTGTAAGGTGGGATATCATGTCCGCTTGTGGTTTCTATCTGCAGGAGTTTGCATGGCGCTTTAAAAAATGTCTGCCCAGCTGGCGGCTGTGGCATCCATTAAAGTGCTCTTCTGCGCACAGTTGGCACTCTGTGGCAGCAGCTTTTCCCTACCTGCTATAGCCCGCGAGTGCCCTTCCAGTTCTCCAGGGAAGCAGGCAACAAAGGCACGTACCTCCTCCCAGCGGAAGGTAGGACTTGACAGACTTTATATCCCACTGCAGGGAGGAAAAGCAGGGTCCCTTCTTGTTCCAAACTGAAACTGGGCACACAGCCAACATTTCCTCCCACAGCCTTTCCCCCCTCCTCTTTGCCTTCCCTGTTCTCAGCAAACAGGGGAGAGGGATTTCCCCAATGCAGCCTGCCCCCCTCCGTGGGAAACCAGAGCCATCCCTACTTGGCAGTTTGCGGATCTTGGCTGTTGGCCCCACCCCCTGTGCAGCAGGAAAGGAACGGACGGGCGCCTTCATTCTTTGCCACTCCCCGCTGAAGCTGCGTCCCAACATCTGTTCAACCCTCAGCCCGGAAAAAGAATGGCTGCAGGCCACTGTGGTGACTTACAACAGGTGACTCAGCAAGGAGGAAGAGGGCCCGTGCGTGGGAGCTTCTGCTGCGCAGTCTGCCACTCTCATCTCTTGGGTTCTTCTGTTAGATACTCGGAGATGTAGGAGGGTGATGCGTGGGTGCTGGAGTGCCCTAGCTGGATTGAGATGGGGGAATGCTCCTTCCCAGTTCTCATGTTTTGCCCTGGGTGTTTTCCCACGCAGCATTACAGCACACCACCTCCTCTGGAGCAGGGTAAGTAATCCCTCACCAGATCCCTTCTGCATCCTTTCTCCTGCTCTCCACCTCCCTGCTTGGGTTGTCCTCACTTGGAGGAGGAAGCCAAGACCAGTAAGAGCTCGAAACATGCCAGAAGATGTCCAGCTGGAGGAGAACTAATTAAAGGAGATACTCCCATTCCTGTCCAGAGCAATCCAGGTTTTTGTGCTAGGAGTTGCTGACACCGCTTTAATGTAGACTCCAACATGGGAATATTCACCAAGATGTTTCTCCGGTGCTACCCAAACAGAACTCTGTGTCTTTTCCACAGGACAAATGGAATCCAAGTTAGGCCCAGAGCACTCAGCAGTCTGATCCGAAAATCCGCAAGCTTCCTTCTGCCTTATGGACAGTCTGAAAATCTCCATTCCTCTCTGAATTGGTGGCACCCAAAGGTTATGAGCTGAAGTTTTATTTCCCAGAGTTCCCCTAGTCGCCAGATATCTGCATTCGTGCTGGAGTGGCAGTCTTTGTGGCCAGCTCCCTCACAGACTGCTTGAAGCTCTCATCAGGGCTTTGGCCTCTGGTGTTGCAGCACGTAGGAGTGTGGCAGTACAGCACCAGGAGTGACTCAAGCCCAATCTGTCAACTCTTCCTTCGGGAACACATTCTTTTCTCGGCTTTGGTCATATTGGATACCAAAGACAGACTCTCCTTCCCCCTCCCCACCCCCCCAAGAGTTTTTGTGCTTGTCATCCCAAGAGGAATGTCTCTTGTTACCTTCATATCTGCGTGGTCTGGTCCTCACTGTGAAGTTGAATCCTCATTGCCCAAGTCCAACTGAGGAAGTAAACGGAGGATCTTGCCCCCACCATGACCCAGTCAGATAGTCAGCCCTGGTCAGTGGGAGTCTTCTGCTGTTCCCCATGTACCTTAGCCTTGGTGGCTGGCAGCAGTTTACTGAGACTGCCCTCTGAAGCTGAGGTTCGTTCCATGTCCCACAGTGTGGCCAAAATCAGCAGGTAATAGGTATTGTTGACCGTGTGCTAGGCACAGGAGCCACTGCACCAGTTCCAACACTAGAAGGATCCTCTGGCAGGTTTCCAGTATTTTTCACAGTTCAAAGAGAGGCTGGAGTGGAGAGCAGCTGAGGAATTTGACATCCCAAGGAAGAACTTAAGGTTTTATTTATCTGGAAAAGCGGGCAGACAGAAGCATTTCAGTGAAGAGACTTCGTGGGATCTGATCTACTCGAAGTGTACTTTTACACATCCTGCTTGTCCCAGCTCTCTCAACCCCTGAGGCTCATGGGATACATAAAATAGAATCTGTACTTCAAGGCTTTCCCGTTCCACCTCTCTTCTGCCCCTGAGGTCTGCAGCAGTGCATTTCAGGCCACTGAATGCACAGGCACCACTGCCTTGACAATCCTGATTTGGTCATGCTTGCAGGCCTGAAGTCCCAGAGATGCAACTTTTACTCTCCTTTCTTAGAGCATCATGGGTTTGTGGTTAACAGAATCAAGATTTTGTTCTACAGAGTCTCCATTAAGAGAGTAAAGAACAAAGACCTCTCTGTTCCAAGAGCTAGAAGAGAAGATTTGGTCTAACATGCAGTAGCAAGAGTCTTAACTGGGAATTACAGCAAGCATCATGTTACTCTAATGCTTAATTATCCTCGTTTTTCTGACCCCAGTTCAGGACCTCGGACCAGGTTTACTAAAGGACCACTGCCTACCTCTTCACTTAGATATTCAGGGTCTTTTTTCGCATCTCCTTACCATCAGAATTGAGGTGGATTTCTCAACAAGAGGGAGGGCCTTTTAGTAGTTTCTCCCAGGCCTTGGAATTCCCTTCCTCAGAAGTTTCTTCTGTTCTGGCCTTCTGGCAAATGAAGATGGCAGTATGTGGAGACTGGAGTACAATTTACTGGTGTTTATAGTCTGGCAAATGAAGATGGCAGTATGTGGAGTACAATTTACTGGTGTTTATACTGCCCACTTAACACCTTTTTGCTATTTTGTTTTTGTATCTGCTGTGTTGGATTTATAATTTGCTTGGGGTTTTTCTTGTCTTATCATACACTTAGCCTTCTTGAGTGGCCTGTTGTCAGAAAGGTAAGGTGAAAGTGCTTAAGTGTAAAATGAAAGAGTTCCTTAAGATTCTTCCAGCTCTGTGTAAGATACTGTTACTGAAACCTGCTAAACATTGGTATCACCTGGCTGGGGAAATGCCACCTGTCTTGCAATGTGAAGGGACCAGAACGTCAAGGCCCAAGATCATTTGTCCCCCGTGGAAGCTGATCTCCTCACCTTTTGGTCAGATCAGCTGTGTAGTCATACTTTGACAAGACGGCACGGCCAGACAGATGTCTCTGTCAACACCCGTGTCATTGAAACACAGTACCACTGATTCTGATGGCCTTTAAGAGGAAGCGACATCTCAGCAAAGTACGACCAGAGTTTGGAGTGCTCTTGGGTGGATTAGTTGAACTGGAAGATCCTCAACCAGGAGAAATAGACTCTTCATCCAGAAGCGTTCCAGATAGTTGCTCGCTCTTAGAACACCCGGATCATTAACCTGTTTGCAGCTGCCTTCAGTGGTTTTGCTCAAGATTCTTAGAGGGCAGGGGCAACGTACCGTGTGGACTTGAAGAAGCCTTTTCCTACCTTCTAGGAAGGGTGATGTGGGAAAACAACAGCCTTGACAGCGGAAGTAATAGTAGCGGTTCCATTCTGGTTGTGGAAGCCGTTCTCAAGCCAGATGGACTTCAGGACCCTCAACCTGCAGCACCTTTTGGGGACTGTACTTCCCCCATACTCTGCATGGCATCAGTTGCCCACATGGAAATTGAGCAGCTGTGCCTTATAAGCAAGGGATATGCTACAGATGTGATCTGGACTATCCTGGCCTCTTTGTGGTCTTCCACCAAGAAAATCTACAAGATAAAAGAGGAAGGAGCAAGGAGATCTTCCCCACTTCGGTTTCTGGATCAGATACTTTGGGTTTTCTCCAGTGGAGTCTGGATCAGGCATTTGGACTGGCTATCCTGAAGAGGCAAACCTCACCCCTAGAACATCCTAAGATGGGGCAGGAAGGTGTGCCCTGTCTTTCCACTCGTGCATTAGACTGTTCCTCAGCAGAGCCTTTTTTATTAGCCCATCCTCTAGAAGTATATTCCCAAGCTGGGACCTGTCTTTAGCATTAAGGACATTTACATCACCCCTCTTCACGTATACGAGAACCAAAGAAAGCTTACCTGGAACATGGTGGTCTTGGTGATTGCAGCTTGGCAGGCTGGGGAGAGAGGTGTACACATTTCACGGTAAGCTGCTTCCCCGCAGCAAATCCATTATGTGTCCTTTCACCAGAGCCAAGAAACGGTCGGTCCTTGCAGTCCTCCTAACTGGTGACAGACATGTAGAAATATGCTGTGCCCTCAGCATGGGCATGAGGAGGTCTCTGGAACTAAGTTGCTTTGACAGTCTTTGTTTCAGCAACTAGGATGGGGAGTGACAGTGTTCGGGTCACTTCCCAGTAGATAGATAACTGAATGAACAGCGAAGATCATGACCCACTTAGTATGAGGCTGCCAGGCCTGACTTTTTTGCTAACTTACCCATGTGAGTATCCACGATCCTAGGTGAGCCTTCTGCCTCTCTGTGTGCAACGCCAGAGATCTGTAGCCCGAGAAGGCATTGTGCTAGCATTGCGCATACAGGGGCTGAGAGCCGTGGCGGTGGAAAGTGCCGTCAAGTCGCAGCTGACTTATGGCGACCCCATAGAGTTTTCAAGGCAAGAAGTGGTTTGCCGTTACCTGCCTCTGTGTAGCAAAACCCTAGACTTCCGTGGTGGTCTCCCGTGTGTTAACCAGGGCCGACCCTGCTGAGTTTCTGAAATCTGACAAGATCGGCCTAGCCTGGGCCAGTATCCTGTTTAAATTGATGACTGCTGGGAGATGTTTCAGGGGTGCCACTTGGGCCACCCCTACCTTTTCACTGGCATGTAATTCTTTTGCATCTGATCTTCCTTCTTATAGGAGGATCATGCCTCAGTGTCGGGTCTCAACCACAAAACTGGCTGCTGCTCTTGGGCATCCCTTGGTGGCCTGCTTTCCTGCTGGCTGAACAAGAATAGGAAGTTGGGACTTGCGTGGTTCCCTTCTATTTAGTAATCAGGAGAGCAGGCGGGTCCTGGGTGCTGTGTTGAAACTTGGGGGGGTTGTTGCATCTGGATGGATGTGTTCCCCTCTTCTCCTCTCCCCCAGTCAAAGACACTGGAAGAATTCCTTCTGTGTTTGGCTTTTTGTTCATCCTTGTTAGGGCTCTGGTGTTACTTTTTGTTAACTTTCTCAACCTGAATCGACATCCTGAAACTGGGAAGTTTCTGTCCTCCAGATAAAACGCCAAGTTTGTTTGTTGGCCTTCCGTCAGCCAGGGGAGGAATTAACCCTTTGCTGCCTCTTCTGCTGTCTGCCTAGAAGGGAACTTTATGGTAAGTTCTGTTTTCTGAAATCTGGACGCGGTGGGTGAGATAGTTAGAACCAGGGCTGCTTTGCCTGTAATGATTTCTTTGTCAAGAAAAGCGGAAGGATAAAGCCGAGAAGGGGACAGCTGCGTATACCACCCTGAGCTTCTTGGAGGGATGCAATAGAAATTAATTCTGTGATCCAGTATAAGCATGATTTTCTTTTGCATAACCTGGTTTCTGCCTTCACCCTGAGTCCCTGATTCGGCATCCCTTCTGGTATCTTTTTCAACCAATTTGGGACAAGGCATGAATATTTAAGGTAAAACCGCCATTTTCAGTGGGAAAGGCGGGGTATAAGTACTTTAGTAAATGAAGTTGTGTGTCTAGTTTTCTAGCAAAATTTTGGAACTAGGCTGCTTTGCCTTTTGTAAGTTGAATGAAGGCAGTAGCAAACAAAGGTCTGTGGAAAAGCTGTCTCTTCTGTGGGGGGTGGAGCTGATGCGTTCCGTCTGCCTCCTTAAGCAGTACCCGGGAGCGTCGAGATAAACAGCAGCGCTTGCAAGCCATCTGGGAGCAAGAAGAGCGGGAGAGGCTCGAGATCGCCCGGGAGAGGCTGGAAATCGAAAGGACCCGCCTGGAGCGAGAGCGCCTGGAGCGGGAACGTCTGGAGCGGGAGCGCATGCACATTGAGCATGAGCGGCGACGGGAGCAGGAGCGCATCCAGCGCGAGAGGGAGGAGCTGCGGCGGCAGCACGAGCAGCTTCGCTATGAACAAGACAGGCGCGTGGCGTTGAAGCGTCCGTACGACGTAGATGGGAGGTATGCTTCGCTCAGGGGTATGGGAATTCCCCAGCCTGTAGGACTTGTGTGTGTGCATGCATGCGCACCTTCTGTACTGCTCACGTGTGCTTGGCGCACAGGAGTGCGTTCAAAAAGTGGCTGTATCTTACCACTTTGTTCAGCTAATCAAGCCTTCTGCTGATCAAAGACGCTGTTCTGCCGGGGCCACCGTATGCGGAGTGGTATGGGAAAGTAGTATGAGGATGGACTGATAACAGCAAGGCTGTGGATTCGAGCCACATGCTGGCCATCCTGTGCTGAACAAGAATCTTGTAGTGTTTTGGCTTTCGTGTCAGGAGCCACTGCTATAGCCACACTCAGGTGGTGAGCTTCCTAAAAGCAGCTGACGGGGCCACTGTTGGGAAAAGATAACCAGCCCAGAGGTCATATCCTAGGTTCTCTGTTTGCAAAGAAAGGCATGTTATCTGGGGTGGCTGAAGGCACTTGGAATAAAATGGTGTGAGCCATAGTCCAGTAATATTTGTGTGAACAAATAGTTCAGGGAATTGGCACGTGTTCCTCTCTTAATGCCTCTCTCAAGGAGGCTATACCGCATCAAGTGGTAATTTAACGTCCGTGTGGAAGTCACTGCTTGGTGATCTGGGCTGCTCCGTTGCAAGATTCAGGCCTTGAGAACGATTCTCGTCCTCCAGTTTCCAAAGTGAGAAAGGACATAGTTGTGCCCTGAAGCTTTGAGACAGGTGGAGAGAGACATACCTGCATAGCCAGAAACTAGAGTCCAGGAAAAGAGTGGTCCTTACCTGATAATATGCATGTCACTTAAAGTCAAGAAGCTGTTGCTCCACCCAGTGTTGAATTGTAGCTGCCATTGTGCACCCTGATCAAATCATGGAGCAAAGGAATTCCGAGCAGGTGAATGTCTGATGCTGTGGTTCAGAAAGTTCAACAAACCGTTCTAGGCTGATGGGAGAGGGAGTTACATCTGCTACTGTGCCATTTTTCCTTTGTTCTGTTTGTTTTCCTTTGGTAAGAGAGCCAGTTTGGTGTAGTGGTTAAGTGCGCGGACTCTAATCTGGGAGAACCGGGTTTGATTTCCCACTCCTCCACTTGCACCTGCTGGATGACCTTGGCCAAGCTGTAGTTCTGGCACAGCTGTTCTTGAAAAAGAGCAGTTTCTGTCAGAGCTCTCTCAGCCCCACCTACCTCACAGGGTGTCTGTTGTGGGGAGGGGGGAGGGAAAGGAGTTTGTAAGCCGCTCTGAGACTCCTTTGGGTAGTGAAGGGCAGGGTATAAATCCAATCTGTTCTTCTCAAAGTGTGCTGTGTTTCTGGTTCTGTTGCTGGTAGCGTCCCTTTCCCTTATCGGGTCTCATCTTTTATTAGTGTGGTGAGAGCAAAGTAAGAGAAGAGAAATCTTCTGTCAGTTTTCTTAACTAAATTTCCTTGCAGGCGAGATGACCCCTACTGGCCAGAGTCAAAGCGGATGGCTTTGGATGACCGCCACCGCTCGGATTTTAACCGTCAGGACCGGTTCCATGATTTTGACCACAGGGATCGTGGCCGGTACCAAGACCTTGACAGGTTAGCCAGTGAGCGAATGGTGCTGTCTCCTCATGTTAAGGGCCTTGGAAAAGAAATTGGAGTGGAGAACATACTGTCCATTTAGTTGGAAAGGTGTAGATTTTATTCTTCAGTCCTTCACAGTGGAGCGTTTTGTTAACCAGCAGAATGTCTTTTGTCATGATATTGAGGATAGGGGGCAGGGAGGGATCTGTAAATAAATAAATTTCATAGCCGTTTGGACTGTGCATGAAAGCATCCTTAGTGGCATGCCTTGGGGAGGGAAAGAATCTGCCTCTGGTGCCTAGCAGCTCCCTTTGGACGCTGTGGAGCGAGAGACATGAAGCAGCTTGTGGCTGTGAATTCCATAGGCTGTGCAGGGGGCAGAGATAGGGTAGTGCTCTGTTCCATTCTCCGGCGAAGGCTGCAGTAGCAAGTGTGCGTATCGTCTGAATCTCTTTTTCTGTCCCAGGACCACAGAAACAAAAACTTCTCACAGTATTGAAAATTAAAATTTGTGTTGGTCTGAACTGACTCCACGTTTTTTCCCCCTCCAGGAGGGAAGGGTCGCGAGGAATCATGGGAGACCGAGACGGACAAGTGAGCAGTGTTTGTTGTAGACTTTAAGGGTGAAGGCACCTAAAAAAATCGTGCCACCCCCCCCCCCGAGTATTATGCAAGATGGCATCCTTAAAGAAGTGTGCATGATTTGTCAGAAAATCGATTCTTGTTTCAATATAAGAACCATTCAAAAAAAAAAAAGAATTGTTGTTTGGAAACCAGTGGCATTTGCTGAAAAGTGTGAAGAGCCAGGTGTATTTCTCCCTGTAAGGGAACCTGCGTACTGCGGTCAGGATTCATGTGTTCAATTGAATGGATTTCCATGCAGTTTGCATTGTTTGGTAATTGAGACATAGACTGCTGAGAGAACTTGCAGGATTCAGAGATTCAGGCTGATAAGAAGGGGAGTGGAAACTGGGCTTTAAGAGTAGGCACTCCTGCCCCTCAGGCTTGCTTTCACCCTCCGTGGCATTACTTGTTAATTCCATATCATATTGGGGAGTGCAGTATGCCTTGCACATGTTGGAGGAAATGTATAAATAAGAACTATAGCTTTTTATTGGCTTTACACAGCGAATCAGGTAGATTATATAACTTCATTCTTTATTTGGGGTATTATATATATATTTGTGGTTTTATTCTCTCTCCCCCACCTCATTCCTGATGTTACAAAGTGAAAAGTATGCATGCACTCTCAGTTCCTAGGCACAATCTTCTAAGAATATTAATTCAGAGTTGTAAACTGCCACTGTAAACTGTCTAATATCACACTGACTATGGCCATCCTTTCATTGTTAGTTTTATGGAACTTAGGAAATGGAAAGATTTCCCACCCCACCTCTCCAGTCTTGGGGACATGGGTGTAAAAACTAAACATTGGGTGGGGGGCCACTTACGTATGCTTCTGTAACTTTTCATCAGACAAGTCAATTCCACTTCAGTTGGTCAGACATCAGCGCCCCAAACTCCTTTTACTGATACAACCAACACTTTTATCCCTGATGCCTCCCCTGAATATTACACACAAATCTTGCAGGTGTTTCACTGTCTGGAACGTATTTCAGGCAGGGACATTCTTCAAGAGCAGGAGAGAAGGGAGGTATGAAAGAGGGATGTTTTTGTCATTTTGCAAGCTTGGGCCCATTTTTACAGTGAGGTCTACCTGTGTGCAAATATATTAGCCTGACATAGCTTCTTGCCCCTGAAAATTATTAAGTCTGTGTGGCATGGATGCCAGAGGAAGTATCATACATCCCTCAGGGGGCTGAAAAGACGCCAGGGTGTATTGTTTTGTACCTCTGTTGTTATGTTCTGTAAATTGCTCTCCCACACAGGAGTCTTGCACAAGAAGTGTTAAGCTCTGGCACGGCTTCTGCTTAAAACTGTTCAGTCCTGGCTTGTGTGCCCCAAGTCCTCCCTGTTGAATTAAGTAAATAGCCCAAAAGTGGAAGAAGGGTCTTTATTTAGCTCGATCCCAGTTCCTGCCTGTCTCCACTGACCTCTCCCTGCAGGCTTAGCTGCAGTTGTGGGAACCCAAGAAGGGTGCAATTTTCTCTGCCAGCCCCCATCATCCCAACGAGGGAAAGCGAGAGCAGAGAGTATGCTGATCCTGTGTCCTCTTCATTCTGCCAGCATTATGCAGATGAGCGCCATGGGAGACCAGATCGACACTCGCGGGACAGCTGGGGCAGCTACAGCTCTGACCGGCACTTGAGCGAGGGGCGGAGCATACCGTCTCGGTGAGTGGTGGCGTAGCCTGTCACATTGCTTAAATTTTGGTTAGCGTTTTACTCGTGGGATCTATAGCTCGCCTCACCCCAAAAGATCAGGGCAGGAATAAGGTTTTACAAACACAAGTCTTTGCCCGGTATTAAAAGCTGACCCTCGCACCACACTATTGTAGGCCACTAAAAGTCAGATAAATGTTTTTACGCCATTTCAGGGAGGTACTCACCATTGGCCCTCAGCAGCAATGCTCCCTCTCAGCTGTAGAGTCTTGTGAGCAAAATTTCTACTTTGTGAGCTACTGGCATTACAGTTGTGAGCGAGCGATTTGGCTGCTGCATCAATTAGTTTGCCCTGGAGCCGTCCTTCCTGAGCTAAAACAAAAATCTCTGAGTCGGAGACTAAAAAACTGTGAGCTGGCTCACACTAACTCAGCTTAGAAGGAACATAGCTCAGCAGCTGTCCAGCACGTGGCTTGACAGGAGTTTCCAACTCTTCCTTTGTCGTGGTCTGAGGATCCCAGGCTCTTTATACCATTTCAAGTTAGCAGCCCCTTCAACAGAGCTCTGAAGGACGAAGGGAGCCAGTGCAGACGCTGGAACACGACGGGTCTCTTTTGCTTCTAATGACACTCCTCTCTCCGGAGGAGGGCGGCAAGATTCTGCACCAGCTGAGCCATCACTGGGGTCGTGCATTAAGTGTTTAAGAATTGCCTTTTGGGAACAGACCGAGAATCGGTTTTAGCCCTTCTGCAAAGTTTCCACCAGCATCCACCTGGGTGCCGGTGTGAAATTCCTAAGGAATGGGTTTGGTCCCTCTGTTTTTGTCCCCATCACCAGACTCAGAAATCTATTGATAAATTTGTTCAGTAGAGACTGGTCTGCCTAACCCTTTTTAAAAAAGAAAGCAGCTGTCTAAGCAAGCAACCATTTCTAGTGGCACTTTGTAATAAAAACTGTGGCACATAACTCAGTCCCCCTCTGTGTGGTAATGATCAGTGGATTGCAGAATGTTTGCAAACACATGGAACTTAACGCGCACACCACTTTTGACCCATATGGCCAGTAAATTAATGCTGCTTTAGTCAGAGGAAGTTCATATACGTCTCTAAAGTGATCTTGTGTAATCATTTTAGTTACAACTGCCTGAAATCTGTATTTGTGATTCAACTGTATTTATTGCTAAATTGGTAGCTCCCTGTGACATTCGTCTAATCTCAGGTGGGAGTTCTACTACATTGTATGTTTTGCAGTTTTATTTTGAAGAGTTTTAAAGATCACAGGAGAACAGGAAAGATTGCAATTTGCTTTATGAATATGAACATAAGAAGAGCCCTGCTGGATCAGACCAGTGGTCCATCTAGTCCAGCATCCTGTCTCACACAGTGGCCAACCAGTTCTTCTGCAAGGCCATCAGTGGGGGCATAGAGGCCGAGGTCTTCCCCTGAGGTTGCCTTCTGGCTCTGGGATTCAGAGGCTTAGTGCCTCTGAATGTGGAGATTCCCTTCAGTCACCATGGCTAGTAGCCACTATTAGACCTATCCTCCATCAGTCTATCTTCTCCCCTTTTTAAAGCTGTTTATTCCTGTGGCCACCGCTACATCCTCTGCCAATGAATTCCACATTTTAATCACTCTTTGTAAAGAAGTATTTCCTCTTCTCCATCCTGAACCTACTGCCCATCAGCTTCCTTGGATGTCCTCAAGTTCTAGTATTTTGGAAGAGGGAGGAAAAGTTCTCTTTTTCAGCTCTCTCCACACAATGCATAATTCTATAAACCTCTGTCATATCCCCCCTTAGTCTTCTCTTTTCTAAACTAAAAAATCTCAGATTCTTCAGCCTTTCTTCAGAGGAAGCGTGCTCCATCCCCCCCAATCATCTTGGTCACTGTCCTCCAGTGTTCCCTCTAAGCTGAGTTAGTGTGAGCTAGCTCACACTAACTCAGCTTAGAGGGAACACTGCTGTCCTCTGTACTTTTTCCGGCTCTGCAATGTCTTTTTTGAGATACTGTGACCAGAACTGTGCGCAGGATTCCAAATAGATCTGTACAGCGGCATTATAATATTGGCCATTTTGTTATCAGTCCCTTTCCTAATAATCCCTAAGGTAGAGTTTGTCTTTTTCACTGCTGCAGCACACTGGGTTGACACTTTCATCGAGCTATCCACTTTGACCCCAAGATCTGTTTCCTTCTCAGTCTCAGCAAGTTCAGACCCCATTTGCCTATACTATACTTGAAGTTGGGATTTTTTGTCCCTACGTGCGCCACCTTACACTTACCAACATTGAACTTCATTGGACACATTGTCGCCCCTCACCCAGTTTGTGGAGATCCTCTTGGAGCTCTTCACCATCCTGAATAATTTGGTATCATCTGCAAACTTGGCCACTGCGCTACTCACCCCTAGTTCCAGATCATTTATGAATAAAATTGTACTGGCCCCAATACTAGTCCTTGAGGATCCCCACTGCTTACTACTGTCCATTGATTCCTACTCTTTTCTTCCTGTCATTTAGCCAATTTTTAATCCATAAGAGAACCCGTTCTCCTATCCCATGACTGCTGAGTGTACTCAGAAGTCTTCAATGAGGTACCTTGTCAAAAGTCCGAGTAATGTCTACCAAGTCACTGTTGTCTACATGCTTGTTCACTTTCTCAAGGAACTCCAACAGGCTGGTGAGGCAGGACTTCCCTTTGCAGAAGCCATGCTGATTTTCCCTCAGCAGGCATTGTTCCTCTTTGTGCCTAACAATTCTGTCTTTGATTACAGTTTCTACTGATTTGCCTGGGACAGATCTTAGGCTGACTGGCCAGTAATTTCCTGGTTCCCCCCCAGATCCCTTTTTGGTGTAACATTTACTATTCTCCAGTCTTCTGGTTACAGCGGTTGAATTTAGCGATAGTTGATGTACTAACCTGTATATGTAACCTATTATATGAGTTCCCCAAGAACTCTCTGGTGTAAGTCATCAGGACCTGGAGACTTACTGGTTACTAGAACTTCATCTTTGGTCACCTCATTGTGGCTCAGTTCTTCAGACTGCCTTCCATAAAATAGTGGGTGTGGCATGGGTACATGCCCCATACTTTCCACATTGAATACAGAAGCAAAAAAATTCATTGCGCTTTTCTGTCATCTCACCATCTTTAGCAATCCCTTTCTTCCTTTGTCATCCAAAGGCCCAACTGCTTCTCTGGCTGGTTTCCCGCTCCAGATATATTTAGAGAAGTGTTTATTGCTTGTCTTGATGCTTTCAGGTCAGTTCAGGATAGCTGGTATTCCACATCAGCTGACCAGAATGACCTGAGCATTGTTATCTCTATGGCACTATCCATTTAGATTAAACAATGCTCCACAGTTCTATGAAATGCCTGTAACTTTAAATATCAAAACCAACTTATCTCTCCTTTTTTTCAATAAATACTTCTTGTTCCCTGAGGGTTGAGGATGTAGGGTTGTCAAGTTCAACCATCTTAGTCACAGAACAGGAGGCGGGAGATATCCCCCAGTGTTGATATTTGTCTTGCTCTGATAGTTTTATCCTGCCTCTCCTCCAGGGAGCTCAGACCAGAACACATAGTTCCCCCCCCCCTTTGGTCCTCCAGACAGGCCTTTCAAGTAGGTTCCACAGAGAGAGAGACACTAGCCCAAGGTCTCCCATTGAGCTTCATGGGAGAGGTGGGGATCAGAGCACAGATCTCCCCGGTCCTAGTCCAGAACAGCAGCCACTCTACCACACTGGCTCCCTCCGCTCGCATCATGAGGTGGCTGCCTGAAGTGACACTGCAAAGTGAGCTACCGTATATTTTTTTGAACTTCCAGTAACAAAACTTCACGTCGACCAAAGCTGCATTCCTCGGGGGGGGGGGGGGGGGGGGGAGTTCTTTCTGCAGATCAATAAAAGATGAGCCTCTAAAACTTCTTTTCAGAGATGGACGAAGCTGGGGACATCACAGTAGGAAATTTGATGACAGCCAGGATCGCTCCTGGCAGAGCAACACACATGGATGGCGAGGTAACTGTTTTCTTTATTCAGCACCGAGAGCGCCAGAGAAAACTTGAAGAATCTCGATTAGATTTTTATCCTGCTTTTCGGTCAAAAGGTCTCTCCCAAAGCAGCTCTGATCAATAAATTTGCCCACTATACTTATAGCAGGAATTGTACCTGGAAAAGGGTGGGGTGGGGTGGGAGGTCAGTTAAGGGGCATTTTGTAATTGCGTTCTGCTTATAGATAGTAGAATGTCTCGTGCTGACTGACTAAACTGATTACAATGGTACAGAATATTCACAAACATTCCCGTGCAGAACACTGCTTAAGGAAGGTTGTTTCGGTTCACGCTCTGTTAGAGAAGGGAAAGCAGTCAGTCCGGCAGTGAGTAGAACATCACATAGAGCCTATGTACAGGAGGAAGCGAAGATGTCTTATTTGAAGCACAGACCCAGTACTGGCCAGCCTGCTGGCTAAGCTCTTCCTCACAAGCTATGGCTTTTTTTTTTTCTTTTTTTTTTGCTTTTTTTTTTAAGGTGCCAGCCCAAAACATTTATTTTAACGTAAGGGGTTGATCATCATGTTATAGTCTGTTTTTAGCCTGCAAAACGTTTAATACCCATTTTAAGCCGCTTCATCATGTTGCTGTACTGGAATGGTGTTCTGTGCTGGAACGGTGGGTTTTAATCGCTTTTATGAAGTTTTAGGTTGTGAGCGGCTTTGGGCAGGCTCCCCAGCAGTGAGGATGTGGCGCTTCTGTTTGAACTCAGGAGCTTATTTGACTGCAGGTGTCCAGTAGCTCAGAGGACCCGTAGACAAAGGGACAGCCGTTGCAGACACAACTACTGTGGGGGACAGGAATGGGACAATTCGATGGGTATCAAAGCCATTGACGTTTTTAGTGTGGACGTGCCCTTACCGTGCTTGTGTTCCTTCCAGGTGGGGGCAGAGGGAGACGCGGCTATAGGATTCGAGGTGGAATGTCTGGGTAAGGAGCTTTGCACTTGCCACTGCAATTCAGAACTCCCTTTCTTCCCCATGGGTAGATTTTTAGTTCCTTTTACCCCCCCCCCTTTTTTTTTAACCTTCTGCGCTCTCCAAACCTCTTCTTATTAATATGAGGGGTACATTTGTTACACAAGCATCCTGTGAGGCTTTTCTGCTAGTTTGCTCACTTGAACTTTTTTCCCTTGTTGGGCTTTTCTTGGGGAGGGGAGACCAGGTAACTTGATCATCCAGCAAGGCCAGGCAGTCTGCAGTCCCTCCTGGTTTTTGTTTTGTTTGGTGATGTGTACCTTTTAACTGGAGGAGACCGGTATCACTCAGCATCTTGGCTGGCCCACTCCACCTTTGCAGTGAGGGAGGCTTAGCTGTCGGGGGCAGCCCTAGACAGGCAGAACTCTCCGACCTGACTCCTGTTAAGCTAAGCGGGCGAGTGCAGAGCAGTCTCCTAGCTGCTCAGACCAGTGGCCGAGCCTGGTCCGGAAGCCTTGCATTAGGATCCAGCGTGGCCGCTGGGAAGTGTTTGGGATTGTCAAAGTCTTAGCCTGACAGCCTCCCCCACCAGGCCCAGGAACTCCCCGCAAGCTTATGTCACCTCAGGCTGAGCGGTTGCTCACGAAGCCTTGATTGTGTCACCTTTCCTTAGGCGGGGTCGCTTCGTGCCCAGCAGCACAGAGGGCCAAGCCTCGCATGGTGGAGAGGCAGAAGATGAAGGCTTCTCAGGGCAGGACAGAGGGAGCCGGCCCAGCGATCCTCGGTTCAGTCGCCGCTATTGAATGTTTTATCGGCTCCCCCGCCCCCCCGCCCCGTCCCCCCAACTGTACAACGGCAACAGAGACTACAACACTACTGCTCAGTGTCCCACTGACTGTGACTCTTAAGTTAACCTTTGTTGTTTTACTTCGTAGCTCAAAATGTGAACCCATTCAGGTTTGGGGTTGTTTTTTTCCCCCTCTTTGTTTTGTTTTTTGGTAACGTGTTCCTGTACGTGCTACCCTTACAACTACCCCCCCTTAAAAGAAAATGCATTTCTTTTATGAGGCATTCCATTTTCTATAAATAAAATAAAACAATTTACAATTGCCTTGGCTGCTGTTTCTGAAGTCTTTTGCAAGCGCTTGAGTTCTGAACTCTGTGTTCAGCATATGGTTATCCTGTATTCCTGTGCAAGGAAAGTGTGGAAAGGGGGGGGGGTGTTAATGAACCCCATTGCCTGCCTCTGTATAGCGACCCTGGAATTCCCTGGTGGTCTCCCCCAAGTACTAAGCAGGGCTGACCCTGCTTAGCTTCTGAGATCTGATAAGAATATCGAAAGCTAAGCCGGGTCGGCCCTGGGCCATCCGGGTCAGGGGAATGCATGCTGTACACAACGGTATGGTCGACAGACGTGTTCTGTTTATCAAAGCACCTTCCTGAACCATTCTGTTCGAGCCATATTACCTTTATAGCAATGTCCTCCTGAACAGTTCTTTCAATAGTTTGTAGAATGACAGAAGCATGGGGGGGCCTTCTTAGCTTCTGGCTGGCCATTCCACAGGCTGGGGGCCGCATTAGGAAACGCACATGTAGTCATGTGATGTAACAGGCCTGCTCAGCTTGTAGAATCTGTCCTGCCCACCCCCTCCTTTGAGTTGCCGCCTCCAGGAGGGAGCTGTTCCACTTCCTTCCACTAGGGTACCCGCTGCCACCACTGTCCTGTTGTGGGTTGCCTGCTAAGAGGGACAATCTCCTAACTCCCCTTCACACCACGGAGGCTCTGCCTTTGGGCCTTCCGCTCCCACAGTTAGGTTACCACGGGGGCCAAATTCCTTCTTTGAGGTTCTCCTGGAGGGTTGGCAGTGGCACCTTGACTGCTTTCCTCCCAATCTGGTGGCCCCTCTTGCCAATTACTATTGCTAACAGGTGCACCTTTTCGATACAAAGGGTGATTACACCTTTATGAATTCCCAAGGTGCAAGTGTAGTTGGTTTTTTGTCTCCTGATATGTTTTCATTGGTTAAGCTGTTTCTGGTCGATAACTATGTTGTGAGTGATCCCTTACTGCTACATCTAATCCTTCAAATAAAGCAAGGGGATAATATGGGTATTAAATTTAATACCCAAATTGTTGTTAGGGATTTTCGGCTATGTTCTCTTAGGTCAGTAGTTCTCAATCTTCCTAATGCCGCAACCCTTTAATACAGTTCCTCATGTTGTGGTGACCCCCAACCATAAAATTATTTTCATTGCTATCATAAGACCATCGAAAATTTGTGTTTTCCGATGGTCTTAGGCGACCCCTGTGAAAGGGTCGTTCTACCCACAAAGGGATTGCGACCCACAGGTTGAGAACCACTGTCTTAGGTGGACAAATGAAATATCAAATAATGTAGTTGAGACATCTCTAATTCCAGACTCTGCCTAGCTAAAACAGGGACTCAAGTTTTCATTCTCTGTTCAAATTAATATAGAGAAATTAACTGGTTTATTCATGCTGTTTCATCCATGTCACACTAAATTTTTGGCATTAGAAAAATTACCCACCAAAGATGGATAATGAAGGTTGTCATACATTGAGGTGTGCAATATGATATGCTCTCCAACAGTTTAGAAAGTCAAATACCCAGGAAAATCTGAATAGCCATCTTACTTTGAAGCGAGAGTATAGAAGTCACATTAGGGAGTCCAAGAGAAGGGTGCAGTTTGAAAGTTGGCATAATTTGATTCATTCAATAGAAATAATACGACATCTTTCTAGACCTTGATATCCAATGGACTTATGAAAAACTGAAGGTGAAGGTTTCTCATATCCTCAACAACCTTCCTTAAGGGCGCAGTTGCATCTTGTTGTTCTAAAATCTTGGAAGAAAATCAGAGCTGCCATTTCTGACTCATTCAGTCAACTGGCATTTAATTCAATGCTATCCAAAGATTTAGAGCATTCTTGTTTTCTTAATAATCTATTATCAAGATACTCCATTCCTGATTACCTTCATAGTTCTTCAACAAACAGTTCACAACTTAGAGATTGGGTATTTAAGTGTGATGCTCCGTTAGACAGTTAATTTTAAAATCACAGTCTGCTCCCTGGTTCAAATAATTTAAGAATGACCATCTTAGATCCTCTTACCTCGTTAGTATAGATAATCATAACCTCAGAGCAGCTTTCACATCTTTGCGTTTTGAATGAATGCCAATGGCCGTACTAGCTGGCTGCTATAGTAGAACACATAAGGAACAGCACTTTCGTATTTGTGGCTCTTCACCATTCTTGAATGCTCAATGTATACCCAAGGTAAGTTGACATTTCTCTCCGGTATTTTATCAGACTTAAGTTTCTATTCAGACTCTGAAAAGATTGTATTCTTGTTAGCTGATTCCAATGCCAACGTATCTTATAGAATGGCTTTATATGCCTTGGCTGCAAAGAAAATATGGGCCAATGCTGTTCTTATGGTAACTAATTAATATTGATCTTAGTGGACACCTTTTGACTTAATTGATTGCTTATAGCTTCAGTTTTATGGTTTTATTATATCTTAACTTTTACTCTATTTTATACCATTATTCATATTTATAGTATTCCCCTCTGTTGTTATCCTTGGTTTGTAATGGCCTGTGGCTAAATGCAAATTAGGGATGTGCATTCGGTTAATCTGAACCAAATGCACCCCCAAAAATGGCCCATTTGGGTCCCTTTCGGGCTGCTGCGGGTCGATTCAGATTCACTGATCTGAATTGGCTTGCCGCCGAAACTCTCCCCAGACCCCTGTGGCCACGCCCTGAAGAGCCCAAGCAGCTCAGGATTCTGACCGAGAGTGCACCTCACCCCCTCCGGCCTACCCCACCTTACAAATGGCCCTGCTAGTTCATAACTTCAGAGGTAGGGTTTGCAGCACGGGATACAGCCAGGCAGCTCCCTGTTGTGTGGACTAAGTGAGCATGCGCCCACCTCAGTGGTGGGAAACACGGGCACAGGACATCTGGCACCCTTGGAAGAGCATGTGGGGGGAAAGAGAGCGCCAGGAGAGCAAAGTCCAGGGCCTGTACGCCAGGATCCCAAGGGGCGGCAACTCCCCAACAGGTAAGCCATGAATGCTGATCTCCTGCCCCCTGGCCAACACCAGTAACGCGGTGGGGTGCCGGACAAGGCGGCAGCCTCTTGGAACCCTGGCAGCTAGATGGTGGGGAGCGCTTCCTTGGGCAGGCATGGAGCCGGCACACCAGATGGCTTGGTGGGTGGATTATAGGAGAAAAGGTCACATTTGGATAATTATTAGAAATGAGTGCTTTTCACAGATTCTCCGGGGAATCCATGGTATTCTTTTAAAAATATAAAAATAATTTTATCTTGCTTTTCAGTACAAAGTAGGTATAGATGTAAAATTTCTGGAAATTTTGAAGCTCGGGGAAAAAACAGGGTTTTTTTCCCGGGAAAAAAACGGAATGCTTTGTGCAGTCCCGCCCAGTGTTTCAAGGTCTTTTGCATATGGAAGCTGATTGGACTTCACTGCATTCCACACCTCAAACTCACCCCCCTCCCCGCAAGGCAGTTGGAATGTCAGTTGCATATGGAACCTTCAAGGTCTTTTGCATATGGAAGCTGATTGGACTTCACTCCATTCCACACCTCATACTCCCCCCCGCAAGGCAGTTGGAATGTCTGGTGGTGTGTAGGTCCCAGGATCATGTTTTAAAAGCTGCCTGGGGAGATGGGGACCTCAGACAGGTTACAGTGCCATAGACTCCACCCTCCAACCCAGCTATTTGCTCCTGGGGAACTATTGTTGCCAATCTTGGCCCAGCACCCATCAAACCATTCTCTTCAACCCCCTGCTGTGCAGCACACTTTCCCCTAGGGTTGCCAAACTCCAGGTGGGACCTGGAGATCTCCCACTGCTACAATTGATTTCCAGATGACAGAGATCAGTTTCCCCTGGAGAAAATGGCTGCTTTGGAGGGTAGACCCTATGACATTATACCTGCTGAGTCCTTCCGCTCCGCCCAATGCTGCCCTCTACAGAATCCACCCCCCAAACCTCCAGGTATTTCCCTCCTTAGAGCTGGCAACCCTACATTCCCCTCAGTGCCTGTTGGTAGGCAACTAAGCTTGGTCCTGTCACCTACTTTGGCCTTTGGGAGAAAACACATTGGGGCCAGTCCTGATAGGGTTGCCAACTCCAGATGGGAAATTCCTGGAGATTTGAGGGATGGAGCCTGAAGAGGGTGAGGTTTGAGGAGGGGTGGGACCTCAGACAGGTACACTGCCATAGACTCCACCCTCCAAACCAGTCAGTCTCACATAGGGAACCATTGTTGCCAATCTCCAGGTGAGGGCTGGAGAGCACTCAGTATTACAACTGCTCTGCAGAAGGGAGGGCAGAAGTCAGCTGAAGTCAAAGGGGCAGATAATGGTAGGTTGGTGGCTAGCTGGGAAGGAGATGGGGTTGCCAACTACATGCTGACAAATTCCTGGGGATTTGAGGGGTGGAGCCTGGAGAGGGTGGGGTTTGCAGAGGGGTGGGACCTCAGACAGGTAGAATGCCATAGACTACACCCTCCAAACCAGCCATTTTGTCCTGGGTAACAATTGCTGCCAATCTCCAGGTGAGGGCTACAGATCACTCACAATTACAACTGCTCTTCAGGTAGCAGAGATCAGTTCTTCTGGAGAAAACAGTGGACTCTGTCATTATACCCTGCTGAGGTCACCACAGCAAATTGACACTGTTTGCCCAAAGCCAGAGCACTGCCCCAGAGCCTCTTTCGAGATCCCGTTGTATTGCTTTCACAACGGGCTTTACTGCTAGTTCCATTATAACTCAGAAATAAAATTGTAAGCTGTTGATTGATGCAACAGTACCAGCTTTCAAGTTTGTTATCTGTTTTACCAGCAGATTGCTATTGCGTAATCAATTTCTTTTCTTTTTTTTCAATTTTTCGGAAAAAAAGTTTTTTTCCAAATTTTTCCGGTTTTTTTCCAGGCCTTCACATCTCTAAGTAGGTACCAAGAAAAGCCAATTGGTGAAAGTCCAAAATTTTCAATTACCCTAGAGTGA